GAAAATCAGATTATGAAAGTGGAGATTTTGAGAACTATTTGAGAGTGTGAATCTTTATCACAAGATATCAATGATTTAAGTAATGAAAGAGAAATTCTTATTAAATTGACTATTCTTTGATCATCAATAATTATATGGTCTACTGGGAAGAAAAAATGGAATATTACTAAATATGATGAGTTTTAAGATAATGTAGTCTAATTTATGTGTTCTGCTTTTGAAAAGGGTGTTGGTTAATTGCAACATGTCACTTAACAGAGTTCTCTCAATATTAGCACCTTCAGAATTTGTAAGCTTTGGACAAATGGAAAACCAAATATAGGTTGTCTTAGACTTATAATCGATTGTGTAAGTTCTTGATAATGAGTTTAGGAGCACGAATCTAACAAAAAATAGATGTATATCTATGAGATACAAATGACAGTCCAAAGAGTACTTGTTCATGAGTGAAATTTTGGGTGGATATCAAGCCACAAAATATGATATTTGACATTTTTCCTAGTAAGGGAGGAAACTTTGGAGAATATTATTGAAATTAATATTATGTGTATTGATGAACTAGTTTTCACTACAAATGAGTTGTTTTTAAGTTTCTGATTCAAGTAAGAATAATCTATCTCCGAGTGGAAGTAATCTATTTTCAATGATTCAATCCCTTAGTTCTAGGAGTACAGAGAGGATTATTAAGGAAAGTGATAGAAGTATATATATGGAGTATAGAACTCTAATCTATTTTGGGATATGGTGGAGTTTCCAATTGGTCATTAAGTTTATTAAGGACATTTAGGCCCTTGAAACTAAGCGAAAAACTAACGAGTTTATGATAAATAAAGCTCTTTTATTTTTATTTTTTTTTATATTTTGATAAATGTTAAACTCAATGTGTGTCTATTGAGTTATATAAATTTTTCATAATAATGAAATTTAGTTATGTATATCGATGCTAGCCAGAATAGTATGTTTAAATTTAGAGTTATACCAAATAAATCCAAAAATTGTATTTTTATTCTCAATTGAGGATCAATTGAAGAAATCTACGTGAATGGACTTGTAGATTTCATGTTAAAGTCCTTTTAATATTGTAGTAGCTTCATAGTTACATCATGACCTACTACAGTCATATTGACAGTGGTACTTGAGTTTTAAATAGGGTTTAAATCTCGTACAAAATTTCGTTATGTGGACGAAGATGACTGTATTTATATAAAGGCCTAATGGTATGTTGTGATTCTAATTTTGATGTTGATAGCATTAGATTAGCTTGGCATGAGAAGGAGTCTATTGACACCATTTTAAAATAATTATCCTAAATCTCAGACACGAAGGACAAGGGTTTAGTAAATTGTATGTTTTGTGTTAGAAAAATTATTCTAGTCTTCTTTGTTACAAGAGTTTTATACTATAAAGATTCTAGAATATTTTCAATTGTAAAATTGTTATCCTGTTAATATTTCTATATCGAAAGACGACCATATGAATCTTCATAAATGTCCAAATACTACATACGTGCACAAAAAAATATCTAGGGAATCATATCTAGTACGGTTTGGAGTTAAAAGTGTGCTATGATGTATATTTATCCAACATTTGTCACGATATGGATCTAATTAGTAGGTATCAACGTTATTCTTAAAAGGAGTATTATGATACCTGAAGGGGACTGCTGTCAGTTATTTTGTTTGTTATTGAAGGACTAACTTGTAATTTGAATATATATGCAAATGTCGACTAATGATGAGAGTTAGTCGAGCATAAATTGTTATTAGTCTTGTGCAATCTTGCTATGTAGAGTAGCAAGAACCATATCTTGGTGTGTAAATCTTGGAAGTTGAAGAAACTATTTGGTATAAATGTATTGAGCTTCTACATAAATGGTAATGTGTAATCATTATACTCTAAAGATAGACTAGAGATATACTTGTTTATAATATCGAATCTCTAAGATTGTGTAGAATATGATGCATAGTGTATCATAAAACTCTTGATTGAGTTTTGTGTACCCATAGATCAACAACTTTAATTCATGTGTAGTCTAGTGTTGAGATCAATGTTTTGAAAATCGGACCAGTCATCGACCCGGAAAAGAAAAATGGTCAAGGGTCAAATGATCAAACTGGATAATGAAAAAGTAAAGATAAATAAATATTTTCAAACACTAAATAAGATTATATAATAATATAATATTGTTAATTAATGTTAAGAATTTTAAATTTTTTATTAATTAAGGAAACATAGAAAAATAATTAATTAACCTAATGGAATAATTAACTATAAAATATAAATACACATACTACTGTAATTTGTAATACACAGTAATGCAAAGGTATTTATCCCACATTGGAATTTTGGAAGTGAAACACCAGAAAATATGCCTATAAATAAGTGGCCTCATGCAGCACCAAAACTTTATAAATAAATGGGCCACCAAAGGAATCATTTATTAGTTTTCATTGGTCCAACTCTTCTTGCATCTGACAATTATTGGGAAAGCCATACTGGGGCTTGCCCTTAAGTTCAATCAATGCAGTTAAGAGTTCGTGAAAATGGTAAATTCGGGACCAGCTCATTGTGTCACGGTTGAACCGGCGGGTTTTATTTATATTTTACGGGTTTTCCTTTCTCTAATTAATATAGCATGACCGAACTTGATTTGAGACCGGTTCCCGATTTTTCCGATTGAACCGGTCGGTCCAATCTAGTTTTCAAAACATTGGTTGAGATTATCAGATAATGATTTGAATGCACATATAAAGAATGTTGAATAGATAGAAATTAGTTCACATACATGAACAATTGCCTAGACAATTTAGGGTGTGCTTCGATAAGACAAAGTGAGCATGTTGTGTACATGATCCAGTCGCCTAAATGAGATATTAAGATGAGATTACAACAAGTAATCGAAATGAATTTTGCTATTCATTAAACCTAGCCAGATCGAGTTATCGATTTGAAATTACTCGAACGGGTGAACAGAAGGAAAACTCAAGTTAGGTATTAGGGAATACTTGAATTAAAATCTATACAATGTTATTTGTTTATAAAGAATATGACATATACCTTAAGAAAATGATAAAAACATTGTAGCACATATTTCATTCTGTGTGCGCTTTTACAATCAATATTGGGTAAATGAGTAAATGGATTCGTGCTTTCTCATTGTGTGAGATCTTGGGGTTAATGTAACTTCATATATACCGTTATGACTTTTGATTGTTTCTTGAGATTTTTATTTTAGTGTTGCTACTTTAATATGTTACCAATGACCTTGATTGATCCGATTTGATAGAATATGTTTAGGAAAACAGCTGATTTAAAGCTGAACGATTCAACTAGAAAACGAAAACTACCTTTTAGATATAGAAACATAATTGTATATACAATGGTACTATGTGAGGTTCAAACATATTCCATAAATATTCAAGGGATCGAAAATACTTGAATTAATGTTGAGAAACGAGTTTGGGGTATATCAAGATATCATTCTTCTAATAGAATTACTATATATCCTAATAGATTTATAATCACTTGAGCTCTAATATTACTTGATGTCCCACGATCTATTTGTCATATGAATTTTTGTGAGATAGATTTTGAGAAGGATCTAATGTGTAACATTCGTTGTTCATTGTGTTACGGGTCATGCCTATCATGTGCAAGTAAGAAATATTGAAAATTACGAGAAAATTACGAGTCATGGGTTGCTTATGTGGGGGTGAACCGACCTGTAAGACAGTAAAGAAGGTTAGAGGGAATGGTTTGAACTTGAAATTTGAACCTAAAACTCTTTATAATCTCTATTAACTCCCTTATAACTTCTAATTATTATTCAAGAAAAAGAGAGAAAAAATGATGGCAAAAAAATGACAAAATTCATATGTAAAAATACACCAAAAATCGAAAGGCACCTAGACTTACTATTTTGGCATGGAAAGTCACAAAAGTTAGCACTTAGGTTGTGGCTAATAGTGTCCTTTCATTATGATCGAAATTGAGATCATTAGAGTGCAAGAAAATTGCTAATTTAGAATTTTGAAAAGCAATATGATTCAATCATTCAAAAAATCTTGAAATTCATCATTTCAAGTAAGATTCTTAATCTGTAATTTATGTTATGCATGCTATGAATTATTACAAGACCCGAAAATAGTTTAGAAACAACAAACCAAAGGCATCATTTAAGTATGGTACAAAATCGAGATGAACTTTTATAGGGCATTTGCATAAATGTCTAATTTTACATATGTCAATTCAAAAATGTCCACTTTGATAATCTTTGCAAAAATAGCCAAATTTGATACCAAATTCTCCATTTTACCCTTAATGAAAAAATAAATAATTTCATATTACACATATCAAATTACAATTAATGTTAGACATAAAAATGTCGAGAACAACATTTAAAGCGTAGAGAAATATCATGTTAGGAATGAAATGTCATTCTAGACATTTATCATGTGAAGAACAATGTTTGAAATATCGAAAATATTTAATATTGTGATTTGACATGTGTACTTTTGAAATATAAACGGATTCAAATATCGAGAACGATATTTAAAATATTGATAATATCATTTTAATGTATCTTCTCATAGAAGTTACTTAGCTGTACTCTCGTTTGAATAATTGCGAAAATGAGATTTTTTAATGGGTATTTTTGTAATTCACTGAATATTTTTGTAATTTCCTCAACTTTTTTAACAGACTTGTAAGACTGACTCCATGCTCAAAATCTCATTCGACACGCGTCCCAAATTCAAAATAAATATCAAAACATGATTAAAATAGTGTCCAATTTCCATAGGCGGCGCCACTTCTGGAGAATGGAGATTTTTTAAATGGGCCCAACCAACTGGCCGCCGAATCTGCTAAAATTAGATCTTATGCCACGTTTTGTGAACATCCAATAAGATTTCACCACGTCTTTCAGTGAATTGTCTGAGTCATTGTATCTACTGGTCTCATACTTGACTGCATCATTTCTCACCACGTGGCGACAATTATACCGACTGCAGAAAAATCAAGAGTCCATAATCTTCCCAGAATCCCCATATTAATTCTAAATTCTCTTCCACAATCTTATTCATTATTCAGTTAGATTTGAGGAAAGATGATAGCTCATAATCAGAATCAGGAGTCACCGGGATTGAATATTAGGAAAAGAATTGACAAGGTGAAAAGTGTTGTCCGGAGAAGAAAGGAACTCCGGAGAATTAAGTCATTATATCTGAAAAATTCTGCCGTCGTCGACAGAGATGTCTATTATAAGATAAGGCTAAAAGGAAATGATTTGGAGTCAATGAAAAGTGAGGAATTCAATCAGTTACGGAAGAGGAGGCCATGGAGGGAGAATTGGGATGGTGGAGAGTTTGGTTCTCACGGTTCAATATCGGTTATTGGGAGACGGAAGGAAATGGAGGATGCGGTGGCGGCGGAGGTAGGGTTTTTAACCAAGGGTTGTAAAAGGTATGATTTTTTCGGAGTATATGATGGCCACGGTGGATCACGGGTGGCACAAGCTTGCCGCCACTGGTTGCACAAGTTTGTGGCGAAGAGAGTGGAAGAAGAAGGTGAAGAGATTAATTGGAAAGAGGTGATGGTGGCGGGTTTTAAGGAAATGGATGACGAGGTTAATAAGAATGGGAAGGCAGTGGCCGCGATGGGGTCAACTGCGACAGTGGCAGTGGTGGGGGAAGAGGCGGTGGTGGTTGCGAATTGTGGGGATTCAAGGGCTGTGCTTTCACGTGGTGGAGTTGCCATACCTTTATCTATTGATCATAAGGTATATTCATGTTTCATGCAATATTTTTTTTTGTCAAAGGGATCTTCCAGAGATGATGAAGAGATTTAACCTCGTTTCGCCCCCATATGCTAAAATTTATCTTTTCAGAACTCGTTTTCAATCATGAATTTACAATTTGTATCAATTTTACAATTATATATTTCATTAAATTTTTTTCCTTTTTCTTAAATCTCGTAAAAATTATTTTTTTAGCTGAAGTAAATAGTAATTTACTAAGCATGAATTTATCAATTAAATGATGTGTTATGTCACCGATACTTAACATAAGTTAAGTACCAATTTCCCAAGTTCCTATTTGGTCGGATTAAAATCAAATTTTTAGTAGATTTTAAGAAAAATTTATGAAATTTGTAGTTGAAAAGTTGTAAGGATGATGAATACGTGTTTAAAATTTATTATTAACTTTGATTTAGATAAAAATTTAAATTTAAATTTGTATGTTTGGGGCTAAAAGTTGGGTTGAAAAACATGCTTTTCTTATTTGAACCTTTCGAATTTGAGATCGGCCTAATTATTTATACAAGTAATAGTTAGATGAGATCTAATTTAAAATAAGTATATCTTATCTTATCTTATCTTTACAAGTTTGAGCCCCGTTTGGCTCCATTATTTGGTTTTATAATGGGTTGAATAGTATTTTTTTCGAAAAAAATGAAAGGTTGTAAATGAATGAAATTTTTTCGATTTTTGTGTAATATTATTTTATTAAAAAATTTAAATTAAATTGAAGAGTTTTGCAATTACTCTATTTTAATGTAGATAGAATCAATTAATTTATCTAGTATTTTTATATTAACTACAAAAGGATACTATGAAATAATTTAATATTTAGATCTTAAACTTTTCAAGCAGGTAACATTTGATTTGGAATTTTGTTAAAAAATGAATTTTACTTTATCTATAATTGAAAAAATAAGAATAAACATCCCCCATTTTATATTTTGATTTATAATTTTTCACATTTGGATTCTCTTAATTTTTAAAGTAATAATAATCAATTTTCTATACTTTGAAATATATATAGTTTGTGGATTCGTCGCGTATCCTAAATTTGTGTCTTCTTTCTTTGCAGCCTGAAAGAGCTGATGAGTTGAAAAGAGTTGAAGATTGTGGAGGAAAGGTTATCAATTGGAACGGACATCGTGTCTTTGGAGTTCTTTCAACTACAAGGTCCATAGGTACATATAACACTAGACAATACAAAAAATAAATAAATAATAATAATAATAAAGTAATTGAATAGTGATATTAATGTGGGATTTTATTGCAGGGGATTATTACCTTAAACCATTCGTGATACCAGAACCTGAAGTAACAGTCACTGGTAGAACTGAAATGGATGAGTTTATGATAATAGCCAGTGATGGTCTATGGGATGTAATTTCCAATGATTTGGCATGCCAACTCGCAAGAAGGTTTCTATATGGCCACTTGGGGCCGAAAAATTCTGATCGAGCTACTCATGGACAAGAAATGAACAATGAAAGTCCTGCTACACAGGCAGCAGCAGCTCTTGTGAAGTTGGCCATGGCTCGAGGTAGCAAAGATAACATTAGCATTATTGTAGTCGACTTGAAGAGATTGAAACAATGCTCTGTTGAAACTGGCAAATGTTCTAGCTAGCAAATTCAGAACTAGTGTTAATATTAGTATTATATGTTTTACTTTTGAGGAAGCTCAATCCAATATCTTTGAAACGATAATTTTCGAATTCAGTTTTACGTTACCTTTCTCTACTAAAGAACAAATCCAAAAGCTCCGACCCACTGTCAATATATTCACTTATGATTGTTTCTCAATCTCACTCACAAAGGATAAAATATTGGTGTTGATTTGCAGCCATAAAGGCAAGAAAATCAACGGAGGAAGACACAAAGGAGACCAAATGCACAAAGGCAGCCAAAAGTTTTTCTCCACAAAGCAAAGGATTTTCTCTCTCTTCTATAGCAGCGATGTTTTCCTCAAGATTCATACAAATCACACACAAAAACGGCTAGGGCGAGACAATCATATATTTATATAGATGTATATTGGGCTTTAGTTGGACCAAGAAAGGGGTTAAATGGGCCAAGATCCAAGAACCGTCCAATAGGTAAATATATGAATCATGAGTAACACCAATTTCTTAAACTACTTTCAACAATCAACATTGTTTTTAGGTCGAGCCTAAAAATTGGTTGTTGGTAATCAATTTACCATTGGCCGAGGTCCACGAAAATATAATTTCATGTTTTAATTCATCGTCCAAGATTTATTGGGTATCAAAACCTAACACGTATAGTTTGAAGTTTTGTTTTCATTTCTTGGGTTTAAAGAGAGTAGAATTTGAAAATGCAATTACAAATAGATAATTTCTATCTTGAAGTGAGTGGAATTCATTTATCTTTTACATATTTTATGTGCAGCTGAAATGGTTAAAGGGGACCTAAAAAAGTGTGAGAAGAAAATAAAACGTCTGGTATTTAAGGTTAAAAGAAAAAAGGGTAGAATTTAGTACATGATCATTCATTTTCACCTCAATGCTAGGGTTGCAATATTCTAATATGAAAATAATCTCTAAGTTTGGATCCCAACGTGGATCAATTATAAGAATAAACTATACATTGCAATAAGTTATTTTTTTTCTTGGTTTCATCTCAAAGAATTTGTTTTCATGATAGTTTTTTCTTGTCTTATATATTAAATCACTAACAGCACGTGTATCGGTGTATGTCACGTAGGGCAATTGTAGTAGTGAAGGACTGCAAATAACATTATTTTTCAATTTGATATGCTGCATCAACTTATTATTAATATAGTGCATACTTTAACTCTATATCACCTGCATTAAGGATAACTAAGTCAAACAATAATGATTGTAACTCCATCAAGTTATGACATCCTTATAGAAATAAATTAGTATGGTTCAAACATTATGATTATAGAGAGATTTTATTATATTATCATCCATTTCGTCATTTCAGACTGAGAAAACAGAGCAAGTGCATCTCGTCTACCCCAACCTTGAATAAGATGTTGAGCAGCAAAATAAGCACACCCAAAATACAAATTGTGGAGCTGAAACATGTTTCCATTCGGCAATCTCTTGGTTGTGCTCTCATAAACTAAAATATGTCACCTGAAAATATTAGAAATTGAAATCTATATTCTATAAACTTAATATGTAATTGAAAATTGTATTTAGAATTTGATAATTGATAGCTCCAATGCTATTCTTATTAGGTATTAACTAACTTTTCAGTAGCTTTTTCGTGAGCTTGTCAAATGTAAAATGTACGTGTGACCTATTGTAGGACTCATTTTCATTGAACATGTAGTCAATGGTGAATTCAGGATTTCGAGTGAGTTAGGACGGTCGTTGACTGTTGATAGCCACAATAGTAGGATTGTTTGTGAATATTTAATTAAATAATATTTTAAAAAATCTCATTTAACATAAAAATGCACTAAAATCAGATATACAATTTGAAAATATAATCCAATACGACCAATAATAATAAGAATTTTTTTAATCATATATGTATTATCAAGTTTCAAGATTTTTTACAAATTTAAGCGAGACAAGATGAAGTTTATTCGTAAAACATAATTAAGCGGTAAAGAAAAGTTTCGAGCTTAGGCGAAGGGTACGTAAAATTTTAAAACAATGATTTTTAGAACTAGAATTATTTTTACCCTAAAAAAAGAGGTTTTCGAACTCTTAGAAGTATAAAGAACAGTACTCAGATTGTTCAAATTCGAATTTTATGAAATAAATTGATAAAACTTAGCAATAAAAGTATATATATTATGAAGTAATAATTTGAGTCAATAAATTTTGTAAAGAAATTATTTCGAAAGCGAATAACTAATAATATATAATTGTTTAGTTTATATTTATTGTATTAAAAATTAAAAAAACAATAAAAAGGGTAGAAGTGCATGGAAAAGAATCCCATACTTCTCACATACAAAGTCGCTACACTTCCTTTTATCGAAGGTTAGTACAATTATTAGTTATTATTTATTGCGTTCAAAAATTAAAAGGATGAGTGTCGTTGAAGGGAATCGATCCCGTGTATCTCACATGTAAAGTGAACACTTCCATATGATCTATATACCCTTTCATTGAATGTTGGTACAATAACAGACACACACACACATTGGGACAACAAACCTTTCACATACATAAATCAAACAAAATATCGACTTGCCGAAACAAAATATATAAAAGTAAAAATGCATGAATTCAATAGAGGCTAGAGTTTTATTCTTTTTCCTTAATACAATAACGGCCCTCATAAGTGCTATTCATTTTCAACACTCGACTTAAAAAATGTAATGATCTAGCAAAAAAATTCCAAAAAAATTTAAGAAGACTATGACAATTGTTGACCTTGAAAAAATGAATCAACAAGTGTCGTTCAAAGACAATATACACTTGGACGTATTTTGTAATATATTGACTGTAAATGAATATATTTGTAGAAGAAGAAGATGGAAACAATGAACAATTTTATAGGAAGATATATATATATATTATGTCCTCTTTTTGGTTCAAAGATCCATCATTTTAAATGTTACAAGAATAGCTATTTATAGTGACCAGGTCAACGTGATTACCGTTGGATCCAATCCATACGGCTTGATCTGCTAGACCTTGGTGTCACATCAACTCTACCTCACATTAATTAGATGACAGACATTAAACAAAGGATCTACATCTTTAGGCTGACATTCTTGACATCTACTTAATGAGAACGTCATATCAATCAATTCATATGATACGCTTATCAGACCCTCTTCCGGGCGTCCAGGACTTTGTAAGCTATGTGGTTTGGCAAAAGGAATTAGCCACACTTTCGATGAACAAAGGCTAGGACCACTTCAAAAAATTCTAGGAAAATGACCTCAACTTTAAGTGTAGCAACCCCGGCCGTTGACCTCTTCTATAACTCCTCCTTTATTCTTGACCCAATGCCACGTGTATGATCATGGGGCTTCCATATGGACCTCATTGAGAACATTACTTATGATTGGTAACAATAGTCCCCAAAGTCTATGTATAGTCATTCATGTGATACATAGAACTTATATTTTATAAGGAAGAATAAAAGTAAAATTTTTTGGTGGGGTGACATTACAGTCTTGCAAGTCTAATTTGTGAGCATTTCATGTGGAAATTAGAGTTCTTGTTTAACTGAGATGACCTGGAGAAGCAATGTTCATTTATTTCAAGGTTGTAGTAATGCATATATGCCGAAGTGCTGAGCTTCAGTAATGTGGATGAGGTGGTTAGATATTGCAGACGTTGTACAAGGTCAGCTTTGGAAAGTGCGAGGCGTTATCGAGCGTTGTGTTGAAATGTTTAACTGTCGTTTGCAATTTCTAGAAAGGATAGCTAACAATGGTTTGCCTACCGATACATGCAACTATTGCTGCATTTAATGCGCAATGATGGCTGTGATAGCGTGCTTCTTCTTCTTCTTCTCCCAAGCGAATTGGCACGCATGGTGGTCACGGTGTAATCTCGACCTCAGAATATGAAATGGCAAATGTTGTGAGTGGCTCGGATTTAATTGTCGAATCGGCCATTGAGAGATTTAATTTCGAATTCAATGGTTAGAATCAGAGCTCGTTGCCTATAAAAAGGCAAAGGCTTGAGCAAAAATCACTTTTGGCCTTTGCATTATTTTTGTGTTCTTAAGTTCCTTGCGCTTTTGTACTTTTGTCTTACTCTTCTTCTTCTTCAAGCTTTTTGTGTTAGGATTTTCAGACATCTTTTAGCCTTTTTGAGTGATTTTTGTAAGTATCTAAAATTTTTCTAACTTTTATAACTTACATGGCATCGTCATCATCTGAAGATGAGGTAGATGTGATGGGGTCGACTGCTGAAATGGGGGTTGAAATCACAAGTACTGTGGACTTGGTTAAGGCTATTAATGCTGGTCAAAGCTATCTTCCAATAGTGAGAGGTGGTTCAGATGAGAAGGGTTGGGGGCCTCAAAAATTTCGTCCATTGTAGATGCTTCTCATTTAGTAACCCATAGGGAGATATATTGTATTCCCTATGATATAGAGCTCCTAGCCCCCTTTTTTGATGAGTGAGCATATTAATCGGGATCGGGATGTGTGGCCATCAGTGAATTTCTTTTGAAGGCAGGGCTTCGATTGCCATTACATCCTTTCTTTAGAACCATCCTTAAACTATACAGATATGCTTTTACCCAGTTCGTCCCCAATGCATGGGCTCAATTAGTGGGATTCTACTTCCTTTGGAAGGATATCTCATTAGGCGAGAACATGCCCCTTCATGTATTTCAGACACTTCTTCAGCCTAGGCCTTTAGGCAAAAAGCATTCTAAGCGATGGTACTCCCTATGCCATGGGAATTACAAGCCCCTTTTGTCATAGGTCTTTCTTTCTCCATCAAAGGGTGGAAGGAGACATGGTTTTGGGTAAGAGAAAAGTGGCAGGTGTGCGAGAGCAACACCATCCCCCCATGTGCCAATTTCAACCTCCTACTTCGAAACCAGTAAGTGTCATACCTTATTACCTTGTAGATTCATAATTTTGAAGCAATGTCTGATGTTGTGCTCCTTTTTGCAGTGGTGGTTGAGAGGTTCAAGTTCAGTTCGTCAGAACTTGATCTTATAAAAGATGTTTACTTGCACCCAACTTCTTCAAGGGAGTTCAAGAGACTTGTCATTTCCCGATGATTTTTTGAAGAATTTAACTTGATGGCCAGGAGAG